TTGATCAAGATGGATGTCGCCTACAGCTTCCATGTGCCTTATGCAAACCTCTATTACACCTGCCAGCCCCCATGCTTTCCTATTTCAAACTGACCACATTAGGCATTGAAGCACATTCTTTCCAGTATGGTTGGTTTTCTGGCTGCGTTGGGAGAACAGCCTGCCTGTCCTCTATTGGCCAAGACTTGTGCTGACATGTCCCCTGCACAACCATTTATTAGGAAGATCCATGTGCTGCTGTTTCTTAATCCTCCAACCAGGGGAGGACTGACAACTCAGGGGGACCCCGGGCAATAGGGGATCATGGGGCCCCTGTGTCCTTGCCCACACTCAAGCCTATAAAAAAGGTACCAGGGGTATCTCATAGGGCCCCCTACTGACCCCGGGCCCTCGGGCAGAGCCCGAGTGCTCGAATGGTCAGTCCGCCCCTGCCTCCAACCTCTTCTCTGGCTCATCTGATACAGAAAGGCAGGCCTAATCACTAATTATGTCAAAAGATCCTCATCTTTCTTCTCTACCAGCCATCACCATATCTGCTCATCACAGAAAACAAAAATTCATTTTGACTGTGAAATATGTCAGTAATAAAATATGTGCAGTCTATAGTGCTATTGTGTAATCTTCTTCCAAAACAATGCCAAACTTCCATAAAAAAGTTCCAAGATTACTGTGCAGTGCTCCCCACCTTTGTTCCCACACTCACTGACAGTTGTGGACACTTGTATGTGAAGAGCCTAATGTGCTTATATTGCAAATTCCTTGTGATCGCTGGGACTTGTCCCCTCAGTCAATCTCTCCTCCTCTACATCTCCTATGGCTGGAAGGCTGGTGTCCTCTCATATAAAATAAGAAATGGCAAAAGGGCCCACATAGCAGAATTCCATTTTATTGTTGACACAGTTAAAATTAGTTGCACTTCTATAGATAAAGTTTTTAAAACAAAAAAAAACTGTCGAACCGGAAGTTGCGATCTGGTGTGCGTTCCATCAGCCAGAAATTACATCACATCTGGTCTCCGCACTATAGACTGCACATTTATTTGAACTTTAGGTTGATTGGTGTTTTGCAGATATATATCACTGCACAGGCAGCGCTTTGAGTTGTTTTTAATTTGATTTGCAATAAAGGGGGATTAATCCTATCTCAGCAGCAGCTCTATTACACTCAATTGTTAATGACCCAATAATTTTATAGGAATCCACATATCATGGTTTTTGTCACATTTTAGTATATTCAGTAATATATTTGGCAGTACTTTATAGTCCTATCATGGATAGTTTTGGTACATATAACTAATAAAATATGCTCTTTTGCAAATATGATAAATATAGAAAATGCAGCACCAAATGAAATATAAGTCCATGTGCTAAGAAATATGAAAAAAATTAGAACAATCCTTGTAAAGTTCAACTTCAGTGTGTTTTTTCCGTCATCATTGCTTGTGCCACTAATAAACATCCATTAAACTTCAAACACCCATCAGATTGTAAACTTACCAGAATCAGTGGCTGCTCAAACTACATGCAGCAAAATCACAATTGCAATTGGTAGTGTTCCCTTTTAAATCTGCTCCAAGCACTGTCCAGCTCCTCCAGGGATTTTACTCCACCACATGTAAGTATGTTGTATCAAGTTGCTGTATAGACAAAGCTCACTCACCAGAGCAAAAAAGGGGACCAAAGTGTAGTGTTTACATATCAATCATATATTCGTAAATTACACACAAAACAAAAACGTGAATATAGTCAACAAGAATCGTGTAGCTATGAAATCTTTCACCGTCAACAAAGATATCAACCATTTGGAAAAAAAAAAGATATCAACCTGGAAAGCATGCTCCACCAATCACCAGAGTACAAACGCACTGGAGATATTGCTGCTCAATGAAGAGCAACAAAAACACCATTTGGAAACATGCGATGTCCCCGTTAAATCAACTCCAGCTTCTTCAGTCAGGGTCAAATCATGTCAGATAGCTGTAAAAATAGAGCTCCAACAACGGAGCAATAGAAGGGGACCACAGTGTAGCTAGTTTGTATAAAAACAGTAGCTCCTATATTCTTGTAAAAATGCTCACCAGAAATACATAAAAAACTGCAGCTACATACAAAATATCAGTCGGTTGAAGCAAACAAACAAAAAAAAAAAATGCTCAGCACCTACATCAACAGCTGCCACAGGAGTTTTCATGTGGTGGCATGACATCAGGCATGTAGCTCTGCTCAAAGAGTTTCATGCAGTCATGCATCCTCAGGGGTCTCTAGTGTGTGAGTGAGTAGCAATCCTAATGTAGCCTACAGCAGGAACTTCTTGTTTCTATGCCATATTGAAAACAACATCATTTGGTCAAGTCTGCTTAAACACTTGCCACCCACAGCTCACAACCAGGTACAGTGATGTCCTGGTACATCGCCAAGCACATGTGCACTAGCGTGCCCCTGGAGCATGCAGCAGCGCAATCTCATGACTGCTGAGTCCACTGAACACAGCAGATCACGAATCTAGGTACACGGCCACTATGAGCTGCCAGGGTATTGCATTGACCAATCATAGTGATCACATGAATATAATGTATAATGGTTTCTGTTCTTCTTATTATTAATATACAGGATTTGTTCTGAAGCTGTGATTGGTGTACAGCTATCACATGGTACCTGACACCATGTACTATGTGATTAGCTGTAGCCAATCACAGCATGTCAACAGAAAGCATGTCAAAAGAAAGAAAGAATGGAAAGTCCTTCAGCCCTTCAAAAATGGAAAGCCCTTCATGATGTTAGTCATGAAAGCCTTACGGCTTTCATGACTAACTATTTCTTATAACAGTGTAGTACAGGTGTCACTATGGTGACACTGGATTACTCTGATGACAGTATGTAAAAAAATAGTGGAAAAAAAAGTTTTAAAAATGAAACAAAAACATTTTTTTTACATAACAGGAGTGCAGTGCAGTAAAATACAAATGAAAGGCTAAATCAATATAAATAAAAGTATAATGAGTAATAAAATGGCAAATAAGAAAGTTCATAAAATGAAAAAGGTCATAAAATGATAATGATGATATTGATCCCAACCGCAGCGATAATTAAATGCTTTTGCTTTGAAGGTATAGTAAAAATGCGCACTCACCAGATGCACATTGAATATGCGCATATAAATATATCCACAACAGTCCTCTTTAGGGAATGGGATATGCTGGGCGTATGGTTAGCCTCCTTCAGGGTAATAAACAGCACAGCAGAAGCTCTTGGGTTGGGTGGTGGTCAGCTCATCCAGAGGTCCCCTTTAAGGATGGATGGGTCTGCAGCCTGTATTACAGGGACTCACTCCTCTGGGTACTTGAAATGGGCCAAGCTCAAAAGTAGGCTCTGCAAATCAGTAGCTGCTCTTTGCAGTGGTTTTGTGCTCCTGGCTCCTTTTTTTTAAATTTGGATTTTGTGTGCTTTTAATTAATAATGTATTTTTGCTAGCAGTTTATTGTAATTATTTTTGGTGGGTATAAATGCAGTAGCAGAACTTTTTCAGTTAAAATCTGTTTATACAACAGGAGGTACTTTTACACCAAATTAATTTGCTATAATTTTCTTCTATGTCAAATTTATTTGATGATCAAATCTTTTTTAACATCATATTTTAAAATCTCAAAGCTTTAAGCCCAGCCACCAACCTTTTCAAGTTTTACCTAGTTTCAAATCCTATATTTCAGCAAATAAATTTGGATTTTTAGCTCTGCCTTTTTGGATCTGAGAATCAATATTTTTTGCATTAAAAGTACAGTTAAAAGTACTGCTGAACGTTTGTTCTGATTTCTTTATTGAACTGATGACCGTCCTAATTGGAAACCAATACTTTTATTTGCAATATTATTTTTTTATTTAGGCTTCAAAATGACATTAATCTTTGACATAGCAGATATACCCTTTCAATTACATGAACTAAGTGAGAGTCACAGGTATGCAGATAATTTTTGCATAACAGTGTCAATGCAATATTATCTTATCTAGTAATTTGGAAGACTTAATTTTCAGAGATGATGAATAAGCAAATAAATCACTTCAACATAATTTTTAAGGAAATAGTATTAATAACTATACAACATATCTAAATGATTTAATTAACAGACTAACAAAGGAAACTATTCTCACTTGAATATGGCCCCGTTATCACCGATATCAAAATCTAAAAACCAGCTTAAGGAAATCCATAGCAGAGAAATGGGATACCTCTTAGTGTCCAGATGTCCTATTCTTTATGATATTTGCCTCTTTGACTAGTATGCAAACATCCCTTCCAACAGACACTGTGGGGTTTATTTACTAAAGCTGGAGAGTCCAAAATCAGACTCCCTTCTGCATAGAAACCAATCAGCTTCCAGGTTTCATTGCCAAAGCTTCATTGAACAAGCTGAGGTTAGAAGCTGATTGGTTTCTATGCAGAAGGGAGTCTGATTTTGGACTCTCCAGCTTTAGTAAATAAACCCCTGGAGGTCAAGAACACTAGGTGCATGGGAGAGACCTGTTTAAGGCCAATACTGGTAGATGGGCTGGAAAATATCCAATGGTTTTTGATGCCCAGAAAGAAAAATAGGGCTTTATGTGATCTATGTGAAGTTTGGGAAGAAGGAAATATTTCTGAGGATGAAGATGATACCAAATTTGTTGAACAGGGAATTGTTAGATTAACTGCATTTATGAAGTGCCCTATCCTATTTCCCCCTTTTGTCACAAAAGTCGGTGATATATATACGTTTGTAAAAAAATTTAACTAGGAATTTAAAAAACCCAATTCCTTGAGATAAGAAACGATAATATGACATTAAAACTATTGGTAATAAAACTATACAGAAGGCTTATTTACTGATGTGAGTCTGTATAACATATCCAGTTAATGCTCAAATTTTACAAACAACTCAAAATTCTCAAAATGAATTACCTAAACTTGCAAAATAAACAGATGGACTAAACAGGAATCACAAACTTCAACGAATTTCATGAACATTCATTTACTTAATCAGGACAAAAAAAATGAATGGTCAGGTGACCAGGAACCAGGGGCGGACTGACTACTCATGGGGCCCCCGGGCAATAGGGGATCATGGGGCCCCTGTGTCCTTGCCCAAACTCAAAAAATCCTATGAAAAAGGTACCAGGGGCATCTCATGGGGCCCCCTACTGACCCCGGGCCCTCAGGCAGTGCCCGAGTTTCCAAATGGTCAGTCCGCCCCTGCCAGGAACCATAGGCAGAAGAAAATAATCACAGAAAATGTTTTCTGTGATTACGTAATCAGGAGTTGATGCTGCTGACAAGGTGTCTATAAAATAAAAATTAACAAATTCAAATTTGAAAGTGGTAATACAATCATAGATTCATCCACATAAAATGGGCAACATCATCCTTACTGTATAACAGTTGAAAAAATAGAACAAATAAGCTTCAAAGGAAGATTAAAAGTCAAATACCATTTGGATAGTAACCACAAAAGGGTTTCTATTCCAGGAAGTCTGATTTTGGAGAAAACACATTAGGGTGTAGTGGCCCAGCATATCCACTGACCAGGCTTGCCTTCCCCTACAGTATGCTTTTTACAACTTGTTGATGGATGTACAATTTGAAAGCATGTGCTGAACACTTGAATGCGTGAGATGCTTGGGTAAAACTAGGAAAGTGACAACATCCTTTCATATAGAACAACTTGACAAGCACTGCTATAACTGTGCTGGTTAAGGAGTGGGTAGAGTTCCCACTGTGCCCTGCTCCCTGGATTTGGTGTGTTGTGTGAATCAGTATGGTGTTGAGTCGATGATCTGAAAAGGAACTTGATTTCTGCATATGTACAGTTGAATTTACATAATACAAACCACCCACATGGGTCACTGTCAACTGGATATAGTTCTGTCATTCACTGTACACTCTACAATTGCAAGGACATGCTGAATACCAGAAGGTCTGAGATGTATGGCCCAAGCTAGGAGACTGGCTATATCCATTTTTATGGAACTATTTAATCAGCACTGTTACAAGCACGTTGCCTAAGTTGAGGGTAATGATTTGCACCTTTTTGCTCTAGTCTTTGGACTCCTTAGGTTATGCATCTGATACATCAGTGTATTTTGCCTTGATGAGTCACAATTGAAGCTTATCTTTGCATATGTGCAGGTGAATCTATACACGCATCTCATACCGGTCCGGACTATAGGCCCTGTGGATTTGATATAGGTCTCCTGTCTATCATATACTCTCCAATCTGTACAGAAAATCCTGGGAGTTATAATTGAACTTAAAGTGTTGCTAAACCCACAACAGTAAAATCAGTCTGTGTATGCACTAAAGCATGCTTGTTATACTCACTGTGGAAGCCAAGGGGTTAATCCTCTGTATTGTGTAAAAAGGATGTTTGATCCTCTCTTCTCTGATCCTCCCCTTTGTCCACAGCCGCCAATTCATCTGCTGATAGAAAAGCCTTGGGGGCAAGCTGCACATGCTCAGTTTGGTGTGTATTGCTAGAGAGTTTTTTTTTCTTGGGAGAGTGCAAGTGATCAGCACAAGGTTATCTAGCACTGCCCAGACAGAGGTCAGGGGTTCTGCAGTCTTAATAGGCAAATCAGGGGAGAATGAAAACTCCTCCTACAAGCTTTAACCAGTGCTCTGTTGGACACTGATAGAAGTCACAAGACTGCTATACACTGCTGATGAGAAATGGTATTTAGCAGTTTACATTTACTAAAATAATTGCATTTCCATGTTCTGTGGGAGACCAGATATAGTGAATGCAGGGTCCTGGGTTTAGTAACACTTTATAACTTACATAGTATGTGCAGGTGAACCTACAAACACACCAGCCCAGACAATTTGGATTGGACACAGATTTGTTATCTACCATACACTTTATAATCTGCACAGCAAATCTCAGGTAGAATCCATTCTATCTATAAAGAATATATATTTGTCCACTTGGTTGCTGCACAGCTAGAGATGAGAAAGCCTGGGAAAAAAATGAAAAAATTGGGGGGGATTTTTTTTCCCATTTTTTTCAAGAAAAATTAAAAAAAAAAACTAAAGAAGTGTGGAATATGTTCTTATACAATGATAAATAATACATCTATGATATGATATTAAAATTATGAAGATGTTAATGAAAGTTTTCTGAGACTTAAGGTACAGTGAAGGAAATAAGTATTTGATCCCCTGCTGATTTTGAATATGTAAGCAAGTGCAGCACTAAAATTACTAATGAATAAAGTGGAACAATAAAGTGCATCACATAAAAAATATATCACTTTCCAGAAAAACAATAATAGAAATTGAATAGAACTATATAGTGCATCATAAACTATGTGTACCAAAACAGAACAATAAAGTGCATCATATGAGAGTGTAACGAATCTTCAATAAATCAAATTCATAAAATGGAACAGTAAATGCATCAAAAACTGTATGGATAAGGTGGAACAGCAAGGTGCATTACATAAGAGTGCAAAAACCGTCAGATGAATCAACTTCAATAAATATAAAGTGCCTCATAAATATATAGGTAATGTGATGATGTCCGCAATGATGCGTAGTATCAAGTGCAATGTAGGTAAAAGTTTAACAAAAATATATGGATGGTAAAACTGATAATGTCCGTGATTACATGTGATCCACGTAAATGTCCATGAAACAATAAGGTGCAGTAAAATGTATGTAATTGTCATTAATTATTGTATATGTTTTATTAGTCATTCCACTTACAGTTGAAGGTTTTACTTATAGTTTTATGGGTTTAGATGTTAATTTAGATTAGTATCTAAATATAATAATATAGTTCTATTTAATTTCTATTATTGTTTTCTCGAAAGTGATATATTTTTTATGTAATGCACTTTATTGTTCCACTTTATTCATTAGTAATTTTAGCGCTGCACTTGCTTACATATTCATTTGTGGGGATTGTTACCTGCTTTTTGTGCTAGCTGCTTCCCAACCATTACCAGCACTCTACTATTCTACTATTTACATATGCTGATTTTGAATGTTTGCACACTCACAAAGAAATTATCAGTCTAAAAATTGAATGGTAGGTGTATTGTAACACTGAGAGACAGAATATCAAAACAAAATTTAAAAGAAATGCATGTCTAACAAATTATGCACTGATTTGCATGTTCATGAGGGAAATAAGTATTTGATTCCCTTCACTAAACATGATTTCATGATGCAAATCCCTTGCTGGCAATCACAGAGGTCAGACGTTTCCTGCAGTTGGCCACCAGGTTTGCACACATCTCAGGAGGGATTTTGGCCCACTCCTCTTGGCAGATCCTCTCCAAGTTATTAAGGTTTGCTGGCTGACGTTTGGCAACTCGAACTTTCAGCTCCCTCCACAGATTTTCAATCGGATTAAGGTCTGGAGACAGGCTAGGCCACTCCAGGACTTTAATGTGCTTCTTCTTGAGCCACTCCTTTATTGCCTTGACCATGTGTTTTGGGTCATTGTCATGCTGGAACACCCATCCACGACCCATTTTCAATGCCCTGGCTGAGGGAAGAAGGTTCTCACTCAAGATTTGATGGTACATTGTCCCGCCCATCGTCCCTTTGATGCGGTGCAGTTGTCATGTCCCCTTAGCAGAAAAACACCCCCAAAGCAGAATGTTTCCACCACCATGTTTGACAGTTGGGATGGTGTTCTTGGGGTCATAGGCAGCATTCCTCTTTCTCCAAACACAGCAAGTTAAGTTGATGCGAAAGAGCTCGATTTTGGTCTCATCTGACCACAACACTTTCAACCAGTCCTCCTCTGCATCATTCAGATGTTCAGTGGCAAACTTCAGATGGGCCTGAACATGTGCTTTCTTGAGCAGAGGGACCTTGCAGCCACTGCAGGATTTCAATCCTTGTAGGCGTAGCATGTTACCAATTGTTTTCTTGGTGACTGTGGTCCCAGCTGCCTGGAGATCATTGAGAAAATCCTAGTTCTGGGATGATTCCTCACTGTTCTCATGATCACTGACACTCCACGAGGTGAGATCTTGCATGGTGCACCAGACCTAGGGAGACTGACAGTTGTTTTGTGTTTCTTCCATTTGCGATTGATTACACCAACTGTTGTCACCTTCTCACCAAGCTGCTTGGCAACAGTTTTGTAGCCCAGTCCAGCCTTATGAAGGTCTACAATCTTGTCCCTGAAATCCTTGGACAGCTCTTTGGTCTTTGCCATGGTGGAGAATATGGAATCTGATTGTTTGATTTCTCCTGTGGACAGGTGTCTTTTATACAGGTAAATGAGATTAGCAACACTCCCTTTAAGAGACTGCTTCTAATCTCAGCTTGTTACCTGTATGAAAGACACCTGGTAGCCAGAAATCCTGCTGAAAAATAGGGGATCAAATAGTTTTTTTCCCTCATGAACATGCAAATCAGTGCATAATTTGTTAGACATGCATTTCTTTTGAATTTATTGTTGCTATTCTGTCTCTCAGTGTTACAATACACCTACCATTCAATTTTTAGACTGATAATTTCTTTGTGAGTGTGCAAACATTCAAAATCAGCAGGGGATCAAATACTTATTTCCTTCACTGTGACATCTTAAATTATTGCAAGTTCTCTCAGCTGAAGACAACAAATCCTGGAATACAATTCAAGTAAAATTTAAAAAGGGGTCAAAATCTTTACCAAGCAATTATAGACCTCTTAGTTCAACTTCTATAGTTGGGAAGATACTGGAGAGTTTAATAAAAGACCACACAGATGAGTTCTTGCTGGAAAAAAAATATTTTAAGCAACAGACAACATGGATTCATGAAAGACAGACATTGTGAAACAAATCTGAACTCTTATGATGAGGAGGTGAGCAAAATCTTGGACAGAGAGGTGGCTGTGGACGTGGTATACTTGGATTTTGCAAAAGCATTTGACACAGTTCCTCACACACGGCTAATGTAAAAAGGTAAAGTCTACGGGCGTGGAAAAATCTGTATGTAAATGGATAGAAAACTGGCTAAAAGATCGGGTTCAAAGAGTAGTGGTTAATGATTCATACTCTGAATGGTCT